AGTGCTCCTGTCCTCTCCCCCTTGGGTGCTGGGGATGGGGTCCCTTGGGGTGGGGTTTGTGGGGTAATGCCCACCCCAGCAGGCATGTCTTGGGCCAAATATTTCCTATGAGGGGCAAACCCTCACCCCCTACCACCAGGGTGAGCCTGCCATGTGCTCACCCCAGAGCCTGGCACCCTCCCTGGAGGCAGGCAGGCCCTGGTGGGGTGCACATACCCAGCGTGGCTGGGACCCCCGTGCACCCCCACGCCCTACTCTCCCACTCGCAGTACCAGGCATGCGGGTGCACCCAAAGGCCATGGTTGGCCATGGCCAAGCGAGGCCGTGCTGCCCACCCAGGTTGACACCCCTAAACTAGCATCCCTCTAAGAAACCCCCCGGGAACCTGCCCCACTGGGCACGAGGGCACCATGCCCAGCACTGCCGAGGGGGAGCAGCGGGTGCAGTGGGGGGTCCAGTGGCAATGGCAGGGGGGCACCCAGGTTGACACCCCTAAACTAGCATCCCTCTAAGAAACCCCCCGGGAACCTGCCCCACTGGGCACGAGGGCACCATGCCCAGCACTGCCGGGGGGGAGCAGCGGGTGCAGTGGGGGGTCCAGCGGCAATGGCAGGAGAGTTTGGCTGGCCAGCTGCTCGCCACTAAGGGGCTGGCAGAGAGGAGGGTGGGCGGCGGAGGTTGGCACCGCACTGCTTTGCATTTTCAATGACAGACCCATGCCGGGTGCTCGGGAGAGTGGAAAAATCTTATTTGTCACCTGCTGGTGGTGTGCGGAGGCTCCTGCGCTGCAGCTAATCTTGGGGAAAATGAGGATGCTGGCGGGGTGGCCTGCGGGGCGGGCAGGGTGGAATGGGGCTGGCGAAGTGGGTGCTGCCCCAGGCCCTGCTCAGGGTTGGAGCTGTGGGCAATAGGATGGGCAGGACCCCAGGGTCACACCAGCCTGGTCATGCCTGGGTGTATTGGCAGCACCAGGGCACAGATACTGCCTGCTGGGGGTGCATGGGCTCGGCAGCGCTCGTGGGCATCCTGGAGCAAGTGCCCTGCGCCCCCAGCCCTGTCTGCGAAGGCACGACCTCTTTTCCTTCCATCCCAGCTTCAGGAGCAGCCACTTGCCTCGCAGCGCCAGCTCCGCAGGTTGGCACTGCCCGCGCATCCCCTCGGGGCACTCGGGAGATTTTTGGGGGAAGACAGCACTTGGAAGTGTGCTTGATCCCCCGTATCTACACACAGGTGCCTGTCCCATGCCTGCCATACCCCGGCTTCTCAAGATGCCAATTCCTGTGGGACGCTGCAGCGCTCTGCGGCCGGCTCAGATTTATCCATTATTTTATATCCACACGCCTTTAATTTTTACAGCCCTGTTGGAGCAATACCCAGGGCTGTTAATAACGCCAGCCCTCCCGCCTCCCGCCTGCATCCATCATGTTCCCACCAAGGTGCCAAGCGGGTCTCGGGGCTAGGTAAGTGCAGCCATGAGGAGGCTGGTGTGGTGGCACCCGATGCTCGTGCCCCCACTCTCCAGCCAGCCCCCCTGCCGAGGGGCAGGGCTGAGCACCCCGCGCCCACCCACGAAGCAGCCTGGGCCCGGGTGCCCTTGTGCCCCGCTGGGGTTGGTGGTGCCCAGCTGGTCAGGGTGCCCAAGCTGGGGCCGTCGCTCTCTGGTGGGATTCATGGAGCCCCGGGAAAGTTTCGCTGCAACACCAAAGTGTGTGTGTGAGTGTGCCAGGGTAGGTGTGCCTGTAACGGGAGCTGGATGGCGGTGCGTGTTTGAGTGTGTGTGGGGAGGGGCATAGCACGTGTGGCTGTACTGGTGCGTGTCGGTGTGCATGGGTGTACATGTGTGCCACTACCTGTGCATGTGGTGGTGCATGTCTCGCTGCTGCAGCAGGCACCTTGCCCGGGCTGTGCCCAGCACCCTGGCACCCCTGCACAGGAGAGCGTGGCCTCAGCCCCCCCCAGGCAGCGAGGGCTGTGCCTGGGGCCAGCCCATGGTGCCCACTGAACAAGATATCATGTCCCACGCCAGATGAGCCACCCACCCCATGCCAAGCAGGGTCTCTGCCAAGCACCCAGTATGTGCTGCCTGGGGCTCCCACCCCAGCACCCAAGAACATCCAGGGCCCGCTCCGACCACCCAGGGCTGCGCAGAAGCGGTGGGCGAGAGTGACAGGACACCCCTGAGCGTGGCAGGCAGGATGGCCGGGGTACATGGCCACGGCAGGGGTCCGCCACGGGCAGTGGGAATTGCTGGGCTATAAATCTCCTTGCTGGGCCCCCCCGTGGCAGAGCGGCTCACGATATTTATGTTGGGGATTTATCTGCAATGCAGTTTAATATTCCCGGACCTTCGCGTGTGTGCGTGTGTGTGTGAGTGCATGGCCCCCTCCCCATGCCACCCCGTCCCACCTCCGTGCCCACCCTCTCACTCGGAGCCTCCGGGGCTCCGTCTCCTGCCCACCCACGGCCCTTCCCGCTTGCACCCACCCCGGCAGGACGGGACGGGCCCCCCAGGGTGCCCGGGCACGGAGGGGGGTGCCGAGCCGCCGGGGTGCTCCTGGCACAGGCCGCCGGCCGTGCCCACCCGTGCCCCTCCTGGGTGCCGGGCTGCCGGGGGGTGGCAGCAGGGTCCCCGAAGGGGGGATGCCGGGCAGAGTGGCACTGCCAGCCCCTGTGCCAGCCCCGGAGCGGGGGGCCCGGGGACCCCCCTGCCCTGCCTC